AATCGAACCCGGGACCCTTCAGTCCACAGGCCGATGCTCTATCCACTGAGCCAAAGCAGCTAGGGCTGAAATTATTTTTGATAGTTAAAATATCTAAACTTTCTTAAAAAGGAACTGTAATAGTATTAAAGAAAAGATGGACTGATTTTTTTTTTTTTAATTAATCTTTGGTGTCTTCCCTAAGCACAAGGCTAAGTACAAAAACTAAAAAGATTGATATATTTGTCTACATAAAAAATTAAAACCTCTGCCAAAACCGGTTTGGCTCAGTGGTAGAGCATTGGTCTGCGGACTGAAAGATCCCAGGTTCGATTCCGGTTGGGGGCATGTACGTTGGTTGCGGGAACATTTCTGGTGGGGGGTCTGCAGGAGGCAGTTGGTCGATGTTTCTCTCTCATTGATGTTTCTAGCTCTCTATCTCTCTCCCTTTCTCTCTGTAAAAAAAAAAAAAAAAAAAAAAATCAATAAAATATATTTTTTTAAAAGAATTAAAACCTCTGTATGGGAAAATATAGTGTATGCCAAAAAAGCAGAAATATAAAATATATTCACATTTGAATATCTAAAGATAAGTTCCTTTCATACATAAAGACTTACATAATGAGTTAGAAAAAGCAAAAAAAAAATTTAAACTTCATGAAAATGTTCAATCCCATCCATAAATTTTCAAATTATAGTTTATCTTTATTAAAAATATTGAAAGCAATACCATTATTTTAATATGTTAACAAAGTCACAGGCAAAGAAACCTTGTAACATATTGTTGGCAGGAAAGTAAAGGGATACAACCTCTTTGGAGATTAACTTGGCAACATCAAAATTTTGAATGCAGGCCTCGCTGGTTAGGCTCAGTGGATAGAGCGTCAGCCTGTGAACTGAAAGGTCCTGGATTCGATTCCGGTCAAGGGCATGTACCCTCGTTGCAGGCACATCCACAATGGGAGGAGGGTGCAGGAGGCAGCTGGTCAATGTTTCTCTCTCATCGATGTTTCTAACTCTCTATCCTTCTCCCTTCCTCTCTGAAAAAAAAAAAAAATTAATAAAATATATTTAAAAATTTTTTTTGAATGCATGTACCCTTTGAACTGAAACACGCATCTTTTAAAAAATACGATGATGCCTGCCCTAGACAGGGCTCCCCACCTGACTTCCTGTGTGCACGTCAGGACCCATAGCTAACTCCCTCCTCGCAGCCACAGAGTTCCCGTAAGGGAGTCACTTTCCATCTGCCTTTCCTGAAGGTACCCTCAGTCATTCTTGTCCACGTGCAGAGAGAATTGTGTATGGAGACTGAGAAACAGTTAACAGTGTCCCTTCTACAGCCATATGCTTTATAACATATACTTTATAACCTACAGGCCTTTCCCCTGGAAGAACCAAGGACGATAAGAAGAATGTACATCGTTTTTGAAACAAGAAAGGAACTCAAGAAAGAATACCTAACGAGTGATACAATGCTCCATTTACTCACCAATGCACTGTCTAAGCTGGTTGCACTCGCTAACAGGGGGTAGCTTCAGCATCTCCCTCCATTTTTTACTACGACCACTTTTTTTGCCATATGCTCCTAAATTTGGGGGGAAAGAGGCATTTTTTAAATGGTCAGAAATGTCTAATTATAACAATTACTTCCACTAACGGCATTTACTATAAGCCAGATACTTTCCTAGAAGTTTCGCCAGTCTATGCTCACTAAATCCTCCCATCAACCCTATGAGATATAATGTTGCTATGCTCTTGTCATAATCCTAATTTTACGGGTGAGAAAACTAAGGCAAAGACATGTGAGATAATTTGCCTGGCCAGGGTAGCTCAGTGATTGAGCAAGTCTTGTTCACTTCCTGGTCAGGGCACATGCCTGGCTGTGGACTCCTTCCCCAGTGAGGGACGTGCAGGAGACAGCCAATCAATGATCCTCTCTCATCACTGATGTTTTTCGTTTTGTTCTGTTTGTTAATCCTGATGGTCCATGGACCAACACTCTATCCACTTAGCCAAACTGGCTAGGGCTCATCATTGATGCTTCTACCTTTCTCTCCCTCTCCCTTCCTCTCTGAAATCAATGAAAACATTTTTTAAAAAATATATTTTATTGATTTTTTACAGAGAGGAAGAAAGAGGGATAGAGAGTTAGAAACATCGATGCGAGAGAATCATCCATCAGTTGCCTCTTGCACACCCCCTACTGGGGATGTGCCCACAACCAAGGTACATGCCCTTGACTAGAATCGAACCCGAGACCCTTCAGTCCGCAGGCTGACGCTCTCTCTATCCACTGAGCCAAACCGGTTTCAGCATCAATGAAAACATTTTTTAAATAATAATTTGCCTAAAGCAGTTATAGCTAATAAACAGAGAAGATGGGGTTTGAACCCAAGTGATGACACTACAAATGGGGCCATGCTGCACTAAGGGGGTTGTACTTGTCACCTTTTTCTTGAATTTAACAAAATAACAAACCACCCCCGCCTCTCCAATTGCTTACTAAGTACCAATTAAATGGCTAGCACTGAGAGGGATACAAAATAAAGATACAAGCCATGCCCTGCCCTTACACAGATTACAATTTAATCTAAGAGTCGTTGACTACACTGTGTTAAGAACCCCAATTCCCAATTCCCAAAGGGCAGAGTGTCTCCAGGCTGGAAGGAAGCTACAAGAAGAGGATTAAGGTAAACTGGGACCTGAAGAATAGAAACAACTGAAATGGGGGGAAAAGCACGAAATGCCCACTACATAGAAGGTTGGAATTGAAAGCACATGCAATGTGCCCGAATGAAAACCAAAGCTGTTCATTTCTACAACAAAATGCATTAAGTAGCTCCAGTGGTGGGAACAAATTAAGGGCAATGAAGGAAACAAAAATGTTGGCTAAACTATACTAATAAAAGGGTAATATGCTAATTAGACCGGGTTGACCAGATATCTTCCAGGTATCCATCTTCCTTCTGGATAAAGCCACGGTGGCGGAGGCTCAGGCAGAGGTGGTTAGGGGTGATCATGCCAGCAAGGGACCAGTTAGGGGACAACCAGGCTAGCAGGGGAACAGTTAGGATATGGCCAGTTGGGCAGGGAACCGAGGTGATCAGGCCAGCAAGTAGAGGCAGTTAGGGGCGATCAGGCAGACAGGTATAGTGGTTAGAGGTGATCAAGCAGGCAGACAGGCAGGTGAGCAATTAGGAGCCAGGGGTCCTGGATTATGAGAGATGATGGGGCCTAAACCATCAGTTGGACATCCCCCAATGGAACCTGGATTGAAGAGGGTACAGGCCAGGCTAAGGAACCACCTTCCCCCCCACCCCCCACAATCCCATGCATAAATTTCATGCACCAGGCCTCCAGTGTATACACACACACACACACACACACACAGACATACTAGAGGCCTGGTGCACGGATTCATGCACCAGTGGGGCCTCTCCGCCCCACCTGAAGGAATCAGGCTGAAACTGGCTCTCAGACATCCCCTGAGGGGTCCCAATTGCAAGAGGGCACAATCCAGGCCGAGAGATGCCACCAGTGCACAATCAGGGGCCAGGGAGGAACCACAGGAGGACTCCAGGGCATATCCAGCCTCTCTCATCCAGTCCCGATCAGCCAGACCCAAGCAACAAGCTAACCTACCAGACGGAGCATCTGCCCCCTGATGGTCAGTGCACGCCATAGCAACTGGTCAAACGAGCAGTCAGACAGTATATTAGGCTTTCATTGTATAGGATATGTATGTATATACGCATACCTCTGTACTTAAAGGGTTTAGAAGCTACTTCTAGAAACTTCCTGCAACCAAAAATTCTGGGTTGGAAGCCTCAGATGCTAAACAAACTGCTCAACAAGCCACAGCCTGAGTCAAAAGGGTACTTCAACGACAAAGACAAAATCCGATTAAGTGTGCCTACCCTACACGCCCACCTCTGCATTTATGCTGCCAATTCACCAAGAGATAAAATGGAGCTGAAGTCTCCTGATAAGCACGTGACCATTTAAGATGATCAGTTAAAGCAATTAAAGGTCATAAATTGTGTAACAAATGTATTACACACACAAAATCCTAACTTTTTTAAAAGAATGACTTTTATCTGTTATTTTATTAACAGTATGATTATTTCATACTTCCTTAGAGTATGCCTGGCATACTGGAACACACTTCTTCCATGCAACATCACTTGCCAACATGAATATTTCCCCCCGTCATCGTCAATACGGGGAGAAGGGGGGAGGGGGCAAAAGTAGGTTTACATTGCTTGCATGTAAAGTAACAAACAATTGATAATCGCACAGGAATCAACTGTTTCACCTGCACTGTAAACCTACTTTTGCCCCACCTGTCTCGGGTTTGGGGCGTACAGCACGGTGGTTAGACAGTCCCATCACCTGAGCCCCTGGTCAGCCCAGCACCGCGTCGCTGAAAGGAGAAACGACTCTAATGTCCGATTTGGAACCAAAGCGAGAGACCGACTGACTTCATTCTCAGCGAATCTAGAAAGTGGCTGGACTCGCTTCCATCCAACAGCCCTGCAATTCCCAGGACAAGCCCGCGCTCTCCCGCCCCGGGCCCAGGCGGCAAACCGGGAACTCCCTCTGCCCGGCAGCAGCCGCGTGTGCGCCCCCGGCCTCCCGCGTCCGCGCCTCCGCGGCTCCCGCAGCCGAGCGGCATCCCCTCCGTCTCGGTCCCCGCGGCAGAGCCCCCGCCGGGCGCTCGGAGTGAGGCCGCCTCGGCCGCCACCTCCCCCGCCGCCCCGGGACCCCGCCTTCCCGCTCGCCTGTGGCTCCGAGAACCCCGGTCCCACGCTCGGGGCTGGGCGTCTCCGAGGCCGGGGGCCACTCGCGGGGTCTCCGCGAGCGGGAGGGCTTCCCGAGGGAAGGACCCGAAGCCGCGGAACAGCCGCCGGCGCCCTGGGCGCTCACCACTCCCCCGCCGGCCCGCCGAGCGCCCCGGCGACACCGGCCGCGGAGCCCCCGACCCCCGCCGCCCCCGGCCCGGCCCGCCGGGCACCCACCGAGGCGCGCCTTCAGCAGCAGCGAGTTCGCCACCAGGTTCTCCAACTCCATGAGCCGCCGCCCGAGCCGCCGCCGCCGCCGCCGCCGCCGCCGCCGCCGCCGCCGGGCAGTGCGGGCTCGAGGACGCTGGGCCGGGGCCTTCGCGCCGCGCCTGCCGGCCCGCTCCCGCCCGCCGGGCCCCGCACTCGGCCGGGAAAGGCTGCTCTGCCGTAACGGCCACGACCACGGCCACCACCAGTGCCGCCGCCCCCGGGCCCGCTGGCCGCGACGACGCTGCCGCTGCGAATGCTGCCGCCGCCGGCCGGGGGCACCGGCGGGGACGGGGCGCGGGGCGAGGGCAGGCCGGTCTTCGGGCTTCTCCGCGGTCACCACCGCCGCGCCGCCAACCGCGCCCTCGGCCCCATCACCCCCGCTCAGCGCGCGTAGCTCTCCTCAGGGCCACGGGTCTCCAAGGAGCCCGACCCCAGGGAAGGGCTTCCAGCAGGGCCGCCGCCCCGGCGGCGACGGCCACTGCCGCCGCCGCCGCCGCCGCCGCCTCACAGCGCGGCCGGCTCTCCGCTAACGGCTCCCAGAGGTGGAGCTCCAGCGCCCCCTCGCCCCAACCTGAGGCGGCTGCGGCGCCCCGCGGGGCACTACGGCTCCCAAAAGGCCCCGCGCAGAGCGGAAGCGGCGCGCCGGAAGAGCGGGGCCTCCTGGGAGTTGTAGTCCGCCTGCTGGCGAGTAATCCGAGCCCGAGGTGTCTCTCAGTGATCGGCTCAGTTATCGCGACACCAGGGCGGGGGCGGCTGGCTGCCCCGGCACGTGTCTCCGGAAGGGATCGGCTCTCCGCCGGCTGCTCCAGGCCGTGGGCTCGCTCCTCCGGGTCTCCCAGGCCGTGCGGAGTCGAGCGCCTAGAGGGGCGGCGGGAGTTGGCCATGGGGAAGGCCAGGGCGACCGGGGCGCGCCCCAAGGCCCCCGGGGCCCGGGCGGGAGCGCGGGGCGGCCGGGCCAGGCCCAACCCCAACCCGTTCGAAGTGAAAGTCAACAGGCAAAAGTTCCAGGTTCTGGGCAGGAAGACGCGCCACGACGTGGGGCAGCCCGGGGTGTCGCGCGCGCGGGCCATCCAGAAGGTAAGGGCGGTGCCACCCCCTCGGGTGGCCGTTTCCTGCCAGGGACCCCTCACTCCCCGGACCACCACGCCCCCAGCGCGGCTTTCCCTGCTCTTCCCGGAGAGGCAGAGACTCGGGGGCCGGCCTGCCCGAGCTGGAGCCACTCCGGCTTGCCCGTGGTATGCTACTTCTCTGCGCCTCGGTTTCCTCGTCTGTAAAATGGAGATCATAGCAATACCTACATCCTGGGTAGCTGGGAAGGGCCAGTGTGTGCATTGACGTCCTGGGGACAGCGCGGGCACAGGTGGACGGCGTCCGTGTGCTTGTCCTCCACCAGTTAGGCCGCGTTCCTCTTCGTGCCTCTGCGTGTGCGTGGGCTGGCCTGACCTTCCCCTGAGAACTGCCCCTCCCTGGAGACCCAGCACCGTGTGACCCCTTTTCCATGCCGCTCTGCTGCTGGCATCTGCGCAGACTGTGGCTCTCCTGGCTTCGGGACCGCGGCCTGGTCCTCACAGGCCAGGGCCTCCCACAGGATGCTCAGTGGGTGCTTGATGCTCCCTCTCCCTGGAAGCACACCGCTTGTGCCTTGCCGGGGTGGGGACAGGCCTTCCGTGGGACGTGCCGCCCGGAGTGTGCTGCACCTTTCCCGGCCCGGGGTGCCCTGTGGTTTCTGGGGCCGCTGGCCTGCTGAGCAGTAGTCTGGCTGCTGAGGAAGACACAGCAGCAGGCTGGCGGAAAAGGCCCAGGAGGACAAGTGAGTTTCCTCACCTGTACAGCTGCCAGGGGCTGGGCTTGCACCCAGTTCCCTGTCTGAAGCCCCGATGCTCCACGGAGCACTTACATGGAGTCTGTCCTGGCTGCTGGGAGGTCAGATGAATGAAGACGGCCTTGGCCTCCAGGGGCACACGGACCGTCTTCTGTCCCCGTGTGCGAGCCAGTGGGTCTCCTATCGGAATCCGGTGTCCTCCCGCTGCACGGCTGGCAGTGGGAACAGCAGACAAGATTTCCCACGGGGTCCCGGTCCCCAGGGCTCCCCCGGCAGGCGTGGGGGGCCGGAGCGTGTGGGCTCCCACACAAACACGTTTGTGTTCGCTTGCGCCTCGGTTTCCTTATTTCTGAGGTGGACCCTGACAGCCTCGGGGCGGCGGTGAGGGCGGGTGGTGTGCACCAGGCACAGCGGTGTCCTTAAACGCCAGCTCTCTGACCGTCTCAGCTCGCCGCCCGCAGGCCCTTCACCATCTGGACCCGGCCTGTTGTCCTTGTTTTGCCTTTTGCAACTTAGGTTGTCCAAAATGACCTGTTTTATCCCCCAAATCTCCCAGAGGTGCCCAAGCCACCACTCTGACCTTTCCCAACCCCCCTCCCCCCCCCACCCCCACCCCAGATCCCAGGAGGTGCTCACACCGCTAGCCCCTGGCAGTCCTCCCTCTGCCCGGGACAGGTGGCCTGGAGGGCACTCCGCTGCTTCCTCCGAATCCCCCAGGGGTTGGCCCACAAGACAAACTGAAGTATTAGAAGGAACCGGAACCTTGTGCTTGGGGGCTCACCATGGCTGCCCATGTGGGGGGACGTCCCGGAGCATGAGGTCCTGGCTCAGAGCTGTCTGGCAGGGCGCAGGCTGTCCAGTTGGGTTAAATGCAGAGGGGCAGTGGCCGGCGAGGCAGGCTTGTGTGACGGTCCCTGGGGGGGAGTGGGCGGTCCCGACAAGGAGTCCTGTAGCTGGGACCCAGCGCAGACGCAGTGCTTACCACTCACAGCCTCCCCTGCACGGCTGGCTGCTTCTAGCGCTTGGCAGCCTGAGTCAGGACCACCCTGGCTCCCTCTCGCAGGAGGAGGGGCTCCTCAGCCCCGGTTGGCAGTGGAGCTGATGGGACCTGGTGCCCACACTCCAGGCTGTACCTCCTAGGCCTCAGTGCGTGGCCACAGGAGTGCTGCAGGTGTGGGTTGAGGTTACAGGTAAACCGGCAGGCAGGCAGGCAGAGTACGGACATGCAAGTAACAGGCTTGACTTCGTACAGATAAACGTGTGTCTGTAACAAGCGAGGAGGAAATGTGCTGCCACGGTCTGTGCTCACTGTCAAGGTCAGACTTGACCCGAGGCTCCCTGTCGGCTCCTGGTTGGGAATTTCCCTTCCGCTCAGCTGGGGCCTCCGCTCCTCCAGCTTGAGTGCTCGGCTCCGCTGCTCCTTAAGCCTCAGGGTCCCCTTGGTCCGAGGAGGCCACGGCCTCCCTTGAGCAGCAGCCCGTTTCCAGCCGGCAGACTGTGGCCTCGAAGACAGAATGGCCAGCGCAGGGCCACCTTCCGGGCAGGAGAGCGGCCGGGTGTCCCCTGGGGAGCGTTCCCCTCGGGGTGCGGCGCCCAGCGGAGTGCTCTCTGCTCCAGCGCACCCAGACGCTGCTGAAGGAGTACAAGGAGAGGGACAAGGCCAACGTGTTCGTCGACAAGCGCTTCGGAGAGTACGACAGCAGCCTCAGCGCCGAGGAGAAGATGATGCGGAGGTTCGCTCTGGAGCAGCAGGTGCGGAGGCGGCGGGCGGTCTCCTGTGGGCACTTGCCCGCTGGTGCGGAGGGCGGGTCTGGAGTCCTGGGCCCAGGCTGGCGAGGCCGGAGGGGAAGGGCCGGCCGCAGGCACCGCGTGGATCCACACGGCAGCCAGCGGCTCGGCGGGGCTGTGTCGAGTTCTCACTGAAGTGCTGGCTCCAGCTCGGGTGGGTGGACAGCGAGTGGCCGGTGGGTCCTGGCCCGTTGACTGGCCGGCCGGGGCTCTGCGGGAATTGAACCGCTGCTCCGGTGTGCAGAAGGTCTGAAAGCCGCCGAGGCTGCCCTGTCGGTCACACAGCAGCAGGGAGTTTTAGGAAACTTCCCTCTCCTGTCAGCGGCACCATGAGAAGAGGAACATCTACAACCTAAACGAAGACGAGGAGCTGACGCACTACGGCCAGTCTCTGGCAGACATCGAGAAGCTGAACGACATCGTCGACAGCGACAGCGACCCTGAGGAGCGAGGAACGCTGTCCGGTGAGGGCCGGGCAGGGACAGCGCCTGCTCACCCCGGTCTGGCCGCCTTGCGGAGGGCTGGGTTCCAGGGTCACCGATCATAAAGCTGTGAGAAACCCCACACATGGCAGGGTCTCGTGTGTGAGCTCCAGAACCTTCAGAAGGTGCCTGGCAGTGCAGGTGGCGGTAGACAAGACAGCTTCTGTGGCTGAGAAAGCGCCAGCACCCCGACTTTGTTATTCATCCTTCCCCGAGGGTATTTTCCACTGATTTTCAGAGGGGGGGGGGGCAGAGAGAAACATCGATGTGAGAGAAACACGGATTGGCTGCCTCCGCATGAACCCCAACCGGGGCCAGGGATCGAGCCTGCAACCCAGGTACGCACCCTTGACTTGCATCGAACCCGGTACCCTTCAGTCCCAGGGCTGACGCTCTGTCCAGAGCACACAGCCAGGGCAGCGCCTTCCTTATTTGAACATCAGCCTCATTCACTGTAGCCGGGCGCTCGGAGGGTCAGCGTGAGCCGGGGTGTGACTCTGAGGAGACGGGCGGGCTCACCCTCTGCTTCTGTTCTGTGCAGCCGAGCTGACGGCAGCCCATTTCGGGGGCGGAGAGCAGCCCCACAAGAGGGCCTCCCAGCAGCCGGGCCCGGAGGCAGAGAGGCCCAGGTCCCGCAAAGAGCTGATTGAGGAGCTCATCGCCAAGTCCAAGCAGGAGAAGGTGCTCAGCCAGGGAGGGCTCCGCCGCCGCTGGGCCCTGGGTTTCCCGCGGGCTCGCTGGCCCCTGCTTCGGCCCTGGTGTCACTGAGCGTCGGCCGCAGGGGGCTCACTGCGAAGGGGCTGGGGGGGGCTTTGTTGGCGGGCTGGTTGCAGTGCTGGGGCCTGTGGCAGGCTTTGCAGACACCACGGCGTTTGCCAACAGCGAGTAGCTCACGGCAGCAAACCGTGCTTATCGCCGTGGCCCTTG